CCTTCTTCAAAGGATGACAGGATGGATCTCTCTTCCTCCCGCTTTCGTGAGCGCTCACATATTGTGCCACCGTGACTCAGTCACCAAATTTGATCCTATGGAACTGCAGAGGACTTAGGAAAAATTATATTGAGATTCTTTGGTTAATACAGGATTTTAAGCCGTCAGCAATATGTCTCCAGGAGACATTTCTTAGACATAATGATGCTTTTAACTTACGACAACACACTGGTTACCACTCATTTTCTCCTGAAGGGGACAAAGCGACTTGAGGATCTACTATCCTGGTCAGACAGGACATGATTCATAGCGCCGTTCAGCTGAATACTAATCTTCAAGTTGTTGCTATCCGACTTTTTTTGCACATTGCTCTTACGTTGTGCTCTTAATATGTACCACCTTCATCAGTTCTTCGACAATCTGACCTTCAATATTTGTATGATCAGCTCCAAAAGCCCTGCATCATCATGGGCGATCTGAATGGGCATAACCCTCTATGGGGTAGTACAAATACAAACAATAAAGGGAAAGTTATAGAAGATTTTATTTCTGATAATAATTTAAGTGTTTGTAATGATGATTCCAGCACTTATTCCACCCAGCCATTAGAATATATTCTTCACTTGATCTAGTCCTCTCAGAGTCAAACATTTACAATGAATTTGAATGGTCTGTACATGATGACCTTTGTGGAAGCGATCACTTCCCTACTGTCCTGAAAGCTATAACACCACCAGATCAGAATCCACCTTCATCATGGTGGAACTTTATGAAGATAAACTGGCCTTTGTATGAACAATTATGTGTTGAAAAATTAACACCTGACCACTTCAATAATGTACAAGATCCAATCCATCTGTTTTCAACAAAACTGAATGAAATTGCTGACCAAACAATTCTTAATTCCTCTGCAACTCCTCATTTTCGTATACCATAGTTTAATGACGAACACATGTAGGAATGCAACAAATGTAGGAAGAAAGCAGAAAACTATTTTCGCAGACACCCTACTGTTCATAACTTGAACAATGTTAAAATTACTAGTGCCAAAGCACGACATGCATATATGCAAAACATGCGTCAATCTTGGAGAAAGTATGTCTCCAAAATTAATTCACGGACGCCCATGTCTAAGGTGTGGAACATGGTTCAGAGAATAAACGGCAAAGGTTCTAAATCGGTTGTTCACCATCTTAGAGATACTGACAATTTAATCACTAACAAATCTGACATTGCAAATAAAATTGGCGAAACCTTTGCCAAAAACTCTTCATCGGAAAATTATGTTCCTAATTTTCAGAGATATCAGAAACCACAGGAACAGATCTTGATTAAGTTTGGTTCAAATAACGGTGAAGACTATAATGAAGTGTTTTCATTACATGAGCTTTTTACAGCTATTGAGCAAGCTCATGATACCGCAGCGGGTGACGACAATATTCACTATCAACTACTGAAACACTTGCCTGAATCATGTCTCGAGACCCTTTTACATATATTTGACAGAATTTGGACGTCTGGAAACTTTCCTCTTTCGTGGCGAAATGCAATTGTGGTCCCCATACCAAAACCTGGACGGGATCATACAGATCTATCTAATTACAGACCGATATCTTTAACCAGCTGCGTCTGTACAACCATGGAACGAATGATAAATAACAGATTAATTTGGTATCTGGAAACCAATAACCCCATTACAAATATTCAATGTGGTTTTCGGAAGAATAGAAGAACTATTGATCATTTAGTACGCTTAGAATTCTTTTTGAGAAATGCTATTATTACTTAACAACATGCAATATCAGTATTCTTTGATCTTGAAAAAGTATATGATACTACCTGGAAGCATGACATTTTAAAATAGTTACATGACTTTCGACTACGTGGCCGTTTGCCTCAATATATATATCACAGTTTTTAAATGACAGTCAATTTCAAGTCCGAGTGGGAACGACTCTGTCTGATCATTATAATCATCATCAGGGTGTTCTACAAGGCAGTATTCTGTCTGTAACATTATTCAGTATTAAAATAAACAGTCTTTCTAAGGTTTTAAATTAGAAGATAAAGCTATTCCGTTTTCAATTTTGCGGTCCTTTATCGTTGATTTAGGACCGCTAAATGTAATTTACAAAACGAACGCGCAAGATCATTCTAGCACGACTGATAGGCGTTTTAAAACTAATCTGTTTGGAGCGCAAGAACACAAGGCGTGAAGGGGCCATTTTCCTGGAAATCGCTTGGAATCGTCCCGTTGAGGTACAGGTTGTGTAATGAACAAAATAAGACATACAAGTATTGCAACCTTGGTTGAATTTTCACGTGTTTACGTTATATTTCTAAATATAAGAAAAACTCCCATACACAACAACGGAACAACCCATTTTCAACGTTAATAATATGTCAATCTTCAACGTTGATTCCACGTCGGATATCTACCTCTAAAAAACGTTCATATACAACCTATTTTCCATCTCATTTCAACGTTGAGGACCAACCTATTCTCAACGTTGAAACAACGTTGATGTGCCCACTGGGTCTCGTCACGATATGGCTGAAATATTGCCTATGTGACGTCAGATATTAACTCACTCACTCACTCTGTTTCTTTTTTGGAAAGCGTTTCGAATTACTATCAAAAGCTATGGTCTCTCTAGTGTAGATCCATCCATCAGGAAAGGTAAAACGTCAGAGCAATACAGAACAAGAAGCTAGTCTTGACTATTTTCAGAAGCAACATTGTTGAAATTGTTTTAATGGACCACTGAAAATCAGTTATCACACCAGATGTTCATGCCAAATAACAGCATGTCCTGTCCTACCGGTAGCAGCCGCCATTCGCACACTTGGCCTAAAATAGCATTCATAGCCATTCGTCACCTCTCGCCTTTTTCCGTGACCTCCAAGAAGTCTCCCCTCTTCGATGAATGTTATGTACGTAAATACGAAAACCAATCAGAATGTGCGTAAGGATTGAGTTACTCTGATAAAAATTATCCAAAGTACTTAAATCGGTTATGGCATTTTGTGAGTGCTTAAAAGACAGTGAAATATATGTATCGTCGTTTTGACATTATATAGAGCATAGCTAACAGAACTGAGTTGCCTAATTTGACGTTTACATTTCACGTTACTGGGGTACTGTACTCTGATGTTTCTTGGGGTCCTTCAAAATGTTTTCAGAGTATTCATTTTAAGTTTCACCAGGTGAATGGTAGCAATGTTATACATGCAAGATTAGGCAACTGGTAGACATCCCGTAAAATAAATCATGATTATATTCTCGACGAATTATTCGGTTTGAGAGTGTTTTGTATCTACTTTGGGACTTAGAACAGCTGAAAAAAAGGTTATTTAACTGCCCATTCATATAAACAATCCTATTTGAGATTGTTAAACCCTATTTAGAAATATACATTTGGAAATATATGGTGAACAGCTTTTAACAGTTGCGTTAGAATATGTTTTCAACAAACCATCATGATTATGACTGTTTAATATAGGTTCAAATAGTTTAAAAGCAGAAACTTTCGAGTGCTTCAGTAATATTTAGTACTGTTGGAATTAAACATGGCTGTCATTCTTGTTTAAAGTAGTTCCGATGTCCATACGCCAATACCAAATCTTTCTAGAGGGGCACGAGTCAGTATTCGGTTTGTCCCGAGTTGGGCACGAATGATTCATAGCCATAAATGACGACGCGCAAACAAAAAAAGCAGCTACACCATTGGGAGTTCTTTCTTTCGTGTATTTCTGTGTCTGTTGTGGCGCTTTGGAATGACAGAACCAGACTCAATGCATTCATATTTGGACTTTTTTAGAATGACTGAAAAACTCATTTTTATTTAGATGTATGTGGCATATCTGTAGACAACATTGGCATCCCCGTCCGATACTGTCAGCAGCATTCATGGCTACTAGATGGATGGTATTTTAGTTTAAATATACATGTATGTTGTTCACAATGTGAAAAGGATCGGGGACAAGTTCTTTCAACTTATTAAACCCCTCTCCAAAGGATGGTATGTATTCTCTAATGACCCACTTCATGCAAAGGAACAGGAAATTCTGGCTAGAAATGTTTGTAGACACAATGTTCATATCTTGTAAACACATAGAGATCATGATAGCCAAATTTCCATACGAGGATACACAACATTGATCCAAATCAACTCACACAAACTTACATCTGCCAAGTCCTTAGATCCAACGAAGTGTTGTGCCTCATTCGTAGTCGTATCATGATCCATTTCTGATAGGTGGCAAGTGAGTGTCGAAATAGTGTATTCAATAGATCGACAGAAGCCATTCTCAGCACATTTGAGTTGGCATAACTTGATGCCTATGTTCTTGAAGACTAGCGATCTATAGGTCGGTGTATTTGGCAGTTGACAAATAGCCACATCAAATATGAGGCACGTTATTAAAGTTAGGAACATGTTCTCATGAATGACTGACTTTGTCATCTTGCTGTTCACAGAGCTACATAAGCTTACAACTGAAAATCTCACGTCGATGTGTTTGGACAGTAAAGAAATGTTACCGACAAGAATTAAATATGCAGCCTTTTCGCGACTATCATCTTTGTTCTTTCACAGTTTGTCTAATGAGAGTACATCTGGCTCTGTTAAGTAGCAATTGAAGGGATACGGTGTTTTCTAATGCTTATACTTTTTAGCTGTGTGTGCATTCCAGCTATTTCACCACAAAAACCTACATGATTGGATAGCAAGACAATCACTGATTTTTCATTAAGATAAATGAATCACTCTGCATTGATTGTCTGTGATGTTAGATATTGACAAAATACAGTCACTCCTTCATCCTTCGTAATTATTTTAGCTACTGAAGTTTGCCCTGCTTGTGTAAAGCAGATGTGGAACTCAAAGACATTATGCTCCATATGCACGTGCGTGTATTTGTTCTGGATCTATATCTGAAGTTCATGTTTATGGTCTAAAGACCATTTCCGTAAAACAAATAGAAGCAGGCTTTCAAACGCTTTTACGTCGTCAGATATCTACCAAAATTGCATTGAGGGTGAGACGGATGAACACAGTTGTGGAAGCTGCTGGAAAAAACAGAAAACAGCATTATTATTTTGTTAAGAAATATAAAATTCTCTTTAAATTAGCCAGTACTAGAATGTAACATCACAGGAAAGTGAACAATCACCAGATTCTCTCACTCTGATTCTACCAAATATACTCCTTATGGACACTAAGACACCACGGATCATGATTAATCTATAAATACACAATGCAACCCAGAAAGTGGTTATAGTTACATGTCATATCCTATATTTGGATAAAACCTTCTTAGTAAAGTACAGATTCTAGTACTTTTATTAGGCGGAGTCCCATCCGAGACTCGAACATACACTCTCAGAGTAAGTCACCTGATGGGAGCCACGGTGGCTGAGTGGGTTAGATCGCTGATATTGTTGTATGAGGGCGATTAGTTGCCTGGCGCTGTGAGAGTTGGTTCGAATCAACGTGACAAATGTAATAAAATCAGTACTTTACTGAGAAGGTGTAATCCCATGTCTAACATATGTTACAAGATCAATTTAACCCAGTCAAAAGCTTCGTTGTCCTTTCAGTCGTATTTGGAATGATGCCTATATCTTGTAATATGTGTTAATAGGATATGTGGCATATAAAATACATTAAGTGCAGTATTAAATAAAGGCAAGTTCGTTCTAGTAAAACAATTTCATTACAAGACATTACTCCCTTCAATTCACAAGAACACTTTTACAACTTAGGAGTGTCCGTTTGAAAATAACGTTTCTAAAATCAGAGCCACTTTAGAAATATTGTTTGAGTTTACTTTACGTTAATGTTGGTGAGTATAATTTTAAGTTACATCTAGATCAACGCCAAGCTGGTATCATGACTATATAACAGTAAATGATAAAGACTGTTTCAGGATATAGAGGTCGTTTGGCAGATACTGCTTATGGGAATAGTTCCATCTCATTTAGTTCTCTTGACAAAACTGGAGTCGATGATTATAGTTTTATGAAAATGTTTCAAGCTATAATTGGATGGTGATTATCTGATACTATTGCTCATAACAAGGACTGACATTTAGTGTGGTGAAGAAGATAAGTCCCAAGACCATTTTCGATAACTCTTTATTGAACATGATCCCAGTTACTGGACGACATCCTACTTCAGACCTAGATAAAGGATCAAATTCACATACCACCAGGTAATGAGTACATGTGTAGATTCAATCAGAGTGTGATCCGTTTCTAGATATCGGTAAAGTGCTTCAGCAT